TATTTGCAAATAAAGAAAATCATATTATATATACCAAAATTACCCCAAATTCATTGAAACCCAATTCAACTCCAATTTCATGATTTACACCTCAATTTCAACAATTAACCAATTTTAACCATAATTTCAATTTTAACCCCAATTTTGACCCGCCATCACCGGAGGCCGCCGGTCTCCGGCGCTGATTTTTTTTTTTTTGAAATACTTTTTTTTCCTCGAATGTTTTTTTCCGGCCGGTCAAATATCCAATAATTATTAGATTGATGAACTAAAATAGATTTAAATACTTAAGATTCTATTATTTATGTATTGATTTCTTAAAATTGACCGATATGAATATATTCGAGTAATTGGTCGCATAACAATGAGATGTTATTTATTAAATATTTACTCAACAGTAAACGATAATATTTTTAAATTTTTAAATATTGCATTTTTCAACAGATATGTTTAGTTGTATAATTTGATTATTCTTTTAGTTATTATTTTAAAATAAAAATAGAAAATATTAAGGTATTAGTCCCTCCGTTCCTAAATATGTGTCCTTTTTCACATTGGCACAAATCTTAAGAATCTCAATAAAAATGTCTTGATTTTAGGAAAATAGATATTAATTGACCAAAATACCCTTGTTTATTAATTAATACATGAAGAGTGCTATAGAGTTAATAAGGGTAAAATTCAAAAATAAGCAATTAATGCAGCATTGGAATTGTAAAGTGACAGATAATATAAAACAAAAAAAATTCTCAACAGAGACAGATATTGTAGAACACATGGAGTAGCATTTAAAATACAAATTGAATTGAGCTTGAGAGGGTAAGTGTTACAAAGAGTATTCATTAGGGGTGTAAACTTATTTAACCCTTAAAAAAAGGACAATATTATCCCTAAAATACATGTTGTTATATTAGAGGCATTATTAAAAAAAATACATTTAGTACTAAATTAATGATTTCGATAATACATCTAGGCCTCGTTTGTGGTTTGGTTGGGGAGATTAACCATGATTAACTAAATAATATGACTTTGTTTGATTCGTAATAATTATTGGGTCGACACGTAAATATTATGTTTTATTCCAATTCAAACTGTGAACTCTCAAATATATACCATCGGGCACATCAAGTCCATAACATTAATACATTAACTTATTATTTTCCAATTCGAAGCGTGAACTCTCAAATATGTACCATCGGACACTTCAACTCCATAACTTTAATACTTAAACTTATTATTTATTTCAATTCGAACCGTGAACTTTCAAGAAGCTGACTTAAGAGTAGTGAACTTGTAAATTTGTGTGAGACATGTTTGTGAACATATTTCTGTTGCATTACTTTTACATGTTCACACATTTGAGTTCATCTGATAATTCTTAGGTTTTTGCACTGCTCTGGTTGTATGTAGTTTTCCATTCCATTCTGATATGTACGTCTATCTTTTTTCTATATGAATAAGTTTCGTCGTAAAGGAGTTACTAATTGGAGTAGTTCGGGATCGGGATGTTTATATCTTTTGTTCTCATTGATTATATACAGAAAGTATGAGATTCATCAAAGACCAAGAGAAAAGGATGAATGTGAAGCGAGGCAAAAAGAAAAGCAAGTCCGATGGAAAGGTGAAGTGCATGGAAACAGCTGCCACAGTCCACAAAGACGACTCGTGGCTAGCTATTCAACGCTTTGCTTCACTCAAGAGGAAGCTGATAAAGGCACAAGAGGCTGTGGTCAAGGCTCAAAAAACCTATGAGGATGCAGCCAAGAGTTTGACTTATGCGGAGAATACAATCAAGAGTGGAGTTAGGGGTCGCCATAAGTTTGTTCGAGTTGTCGTGACTAACAAGAAAGACGCGCAAACGATCATATGGATCACGAAAGATTATGGATTTACCGGTTTGGTGAGTGTTGTCAAGTGCAAGAAGCGAGCAAAACTTGTCAAACAACTCGAACAAGCCGGCATTGCAGCTGATTAGCCAAGTTCTTCACTCCTAATGATTTGCAAATAAGACTGTTACATTTCTAATAGTAGTGTAATGTAAATTTTTGTGAGACATTTCTGTTAGAACATATTCTGTGGCATTAGGTGTTTGGTGCCTTTTTCTAATACATTGGATAGTGAACTTTACAAGTCACTGTTGCATTAGGTGTTTGGTGCCTTTTTCTAATGCATTGGATAGTGAACTTTACAAGTCACTGTTGCATTAGGTGTTTGGTGCCTTTTTCTAATACATTTACAAGTTAATAAATGCCAGCTTCTATTATCAGTAGAGTGTGTTATCTATTATCACTTACTGCTTCATCACCAATTACAGGTGTCAAGATGTTGCTTATCCATCTTTAGTCGGGGTATTTGCACTCGGCTCCCCTGTGAAATGTCTAATGGGCAAAAAAACCCCTCGGATAAAACAATTAGCAAATACCCCCCTATGAAAGGAAGTCAATGACAATAAGGACCCTACAAGCGAATCGTGGGATACACTCGTGGTTCATGCAGCTGGGTGTGCGTTTTAGGACATTTTAGGACATGAAAAGACATAAAAACTCTTTGTAAGAGGAAAAAAACCCAGATTGATTTAATTATAAATAATCTAAAGTTATAGGACTAAATTGTAATTATCAAAATTGTCAAAACAAATATAAAGAATACAGGAAAAAAAAAAAAGAATAAAAAAAATAAATCTGAAGGAATTCATCGTCTTCTTCCCCAAATTTCTTCTTCCACCGCCTCCCCTTTCCTTCCACCAACAGCCTCCTCCATTCTTCTCGTCGGTGATACCGTCCGTAGCAGAGGTTATTCCCTCTTCGCCTTCATGAGTATCTCATCCTCCATCGCCAATTTCTCTTTGTCGCCGCAAAGTTCTTGAAGAACCCCACGGGCCCACCCCTCTGGCATTCGTCGATAATGAGGATTTTCAGCCCTTGCTTCCTTTAACCACGGTTTTCTGGCGAGAAGGACGAATGCGGGGAAGTTTTTCCGACGAGATCTAAGGGGGCGGGCTGGTCCAAGGTAAGTTCGACGGGGCAGGCTTTTTCGGCCAAATCTTCCGACGAATTCTAAAGGTGGGGGTTTCGTTCGAAGTAGATTCGAAAGGGGCAAGTGTTTTCCGGGCAAATTAAACGGAAAACCTGGCCCAACATAAAGTATCCAACGGCCACCACCATCATCAGCTGGAAAACACAATTAACGGCGGCGGTGGCGACGACGGCCGTCAGCACATGGAGGAGGTGAAAGTTAACGGGGGCGGCGATGATGGAGGAGAGGGGTTCAAGAGGGAGATGAGGGATTTGGAGGAAATGCTCTCGAAATTGAACCCCATGGCGAAGGAATTCGTGCCGCCGTCCATGGCGACCGTGGTCTTCGGCGGTGGCCTCCACCATGGGCTGATGGTGGCGGTGCCGCCACCACAAGTGGCAGCAGCTGCGGCGGGGCATTTTGGGGTGAGCCGGTGGTTGGGCAGCGGCGTGGGGAGAAGAAGGGTTGAGTTGGGTGGTGGGTGGGGTGCATCTGGGAAGAAGACTACTTTTTCTTCCTTTTCCTTTTTTTTAACTTAAAATATAAGAAAAGAATAATATAAAACATATAAAATATTTTAATACAACTATATATATTTAATTTCTGTTATATTTTATTTTTGTAATTACAAAATTATTAATGTGTATAAATTTAAAAAAAACTACACATAAAAAAATTAAAAATAATTGTGTAATAAAATTTAATTAAATTAATTATAGACTTGAGGTCTTTTTTGCTGTGAGTTTTGGATTTTATTATTTTGGGTATTGAGGTCTTTTTTGCTTTATTTTTTATTAAGGGCAATTATGTCATTTCACATAAGTCAACGAGTCAGTGCACACAAAGGGGCGGTGGGCTGACTAAAACACAACATAGGGGGTCATATGCTAATTTTTTTTTCCGGGGGGGTTTTTTGCTTCCGAGAAATAACACAGGGGGTCTATGCAATTAACTCATCTTTAGTCATCATGTTTTGTTTATGAGTGGTTTAAGATTACTCTACTAATTTTCTGATTTTTTATTTAATTATTTAGGATATTTATATCTTATTATGTATTTTTGGGCTTGGGTTATTTTAAAATTTTATGATCTTGCATGTTTCTGGGCTTAGCCCACATACTTTTCCTCTATTTATTACATTTTATTGTATAGTAATATATTTGATTTATTATTAAAAACAGCTCAACATACTTTATTTTATTTATGGGAGAAATAGTACAACAACATATCTAGAATTTAATATTTTGAAGTCAAACAATCTATTCATAAAAAAAGTCAAACACTCGTTTAAAATATGCTAAATTGCACAAATAACCTTCAAAACAAATTTCCTAAGTATTGTATTACGATATTTAAGAGCTATATCATTTTTTATATAGATCACATATCGTATAGCGATATATCGCGGTATTCACTACACTGATTCAAATATATATTAAGTTAATATGAATATTTGATTTATATATATTTTTTAAAAATTTTATATTTATTTGGGTAAATTACAACCACTCTAAATACGGTCAAATTACGAAAACCCCTTTCTGTTTGGATAATTGCAATCACCCTCTCAATTATAAATTTTCTTACTCCATCCTTGCGGTTTCAAATTTGGTAGAATATTCTCAATTTTGGACCCGATTTATCCCATTCGAGCTCCACATTTTGAAGTTAAATAATCATATTATGTTTTTTTAGCTTATATATATCAGATTATGGTGCAATAGAAATTGTATTTTTGCACATAATGAGCACAAACTAGAAAACATTTCACGGAATGTAGATAATTATGTTGAATTTGACACTATAAGGATATAGATGTAAGAAAATTCATAATTAAAGGGTAGATGTAATTATCCAAACAATAGGGGGTTTTTTGGTTATTTGATTTTTCGTAATTTACTCCGTCTTTTTGGTTATTTGATTTTTTGGTTTTTTTGTTAATTGATTATTTATTCCGTCTTTTTTCCAATACCATTAACTATTATTAATCTGACATACCCTTTTTTTGCTGCCAAGATTTCAACTTTGTTGTTGTGTATGATGGGGAAGAGGCAAAGATTTTCTCGTACAGAAAAAGGCGCCAAGGTTTCTTCTTTTTCCCTCTCTTCTAATTTTACTTCTGTAATTACAACAATTAAGGACTATTTGTTTTTGTGGGGAAAAAAAAAACGAATCTTTGAAGCTATCTGGAGATTTTAATCTTAATTTTAAGCAATTTTATTCCATGCTATGCTATAAGAAAGACCCTTTTAATTTGAAGCAGTTTTGGTAGACTTTTAAGAATCATACAGAAATTTATACAAGTAATTGAGATTTTTTTTTTTAATTAACTGCCTGCCTTTCTGTTTACTTATAGGGTGCATTTGGATGGAGGGATTTGGGGAGGGATTTGATTTGGGGAATGGATTTGAAATGACTCCAATTTTGGAGTCATTTGAAATCCATCACTATTGCTCCAAAATCAACTAAAAAGGAGGGGTAGGGATTTGAAATCCATCTCCAAATCCCTCAATCCAAACAAGTCCGAGGGATTTGTTATTATGGATTTGAAATCCCTCCCCCAAATCCCTCCATCCAAATGCACCCATAGTGTACGGATCGACATAGTTATGTCGATAGATTGAGTGTGCTTCCAGATGATTTATTGGTGTACATATTGTCTTTCTTGAGTCTCAAGGAAGCAACGATGACCAGTATACTTTCTTCTCGGTGGAGATACTTGTGGACCTTCATACCTAAGCTAGATTTCAACGGCAAAGAATTGTTAGTGAAGGTGGAATTGTCGAAAGAAAAAAGAATGAGTGAAATTATTCAAGAAGAAAAGATTGGCGTATGTCGAATGGGTCAATCACGTTCTAGCATTACATAAGTACAACTCCAACGTCGAGGAATTCAAGTTGTTCTTTCCTTTAGACAAAGTTCACAAAAAATCCATCGGAAAATGGATTCAGTACGCTTTAGCTGGGAAGGTTCAAAGACTTGAGTTGAACTTTGCGAATACAATTTGCTTGAGGAGGGGGTACGATCAATATTACACTTTCCCATACCAACTTCTGCGTAGTGACAAACGGGATTGTTCGTGGGATACGAGGCAATGCAATTCAATCGATTTCAAGTGCCTCAAAAGTATATTAATGAAATGTGTGAATGTGAGCGGTGAAGCATTGGAGTTCTTCTTATGCAATTGTCCTCTCCTCGAAAATTTATCTGTTTCTCAGTCTAGACAACTCACGAGCCTGCGTATTTCTGGCTCTTCTTCTCCTTCATTCAAACGCTTGGGCATAAGCTACTGTCACAACTTGGCGTCGATCGGTTGAGATTCGTGATTCGAATCTTGTTTATTTGAAGTACAAAGGGCGGGCGATAAACTTTATTCTTGAGGATGTTCCTCAGCTTGTCGAAGTGTTTGTCGGAGGAATGATTACCCGGCATATGGAAGATATCCTTTTGCTCCTCTCTAGACATCTTCCGCTTTTGGAGATATTCAAAATCGACTTTATGAACCCGAAGTTTTCTTGGGAAGTAAGATTAAGATTCTCTTTGCTGTATTTTTTTTGTTTTTTTTGCAGGATCATAAACTCAGAAGTTGGCATTTGATTTTTTTTTTCTCTCTTTTTTTCCCTTCATTTTTTGCTCCGTAGGAAACAGAAAAGTTGTGTTCAGCTGTGACGATGAGCAATCTTAAGCAATTGGTTGTAAAAGTTGATGCATATAAAGACTATTCTCTCCTACCGCTAACTGATTTGATACGTGCATCACCTTGCTTGCAAAGATTTGTAGTTAAGGTAATCTATGGATTAATTTTTTGCTTCGTTTGTGTTTTAGAGTTGGTGTTATTTGTTCTCTCTCTCTTGACCGATCAATCTGATGGAATCGAAATATTTTTGTTGAAAATTTAATTTGTTTTAAGTACAAAGTTCTTGTATTCTGCTTCTTGTTTGTAGGCAGATTGGTCTGAACCTAAGTTTATCAAGAAGAAGGTCAAAAAGATTACGAAAAGTTATAAATATGTTCACCTAAAGGAGATAGAGTTTGCAGGATACTATGGTCGTATAAGCGATCTTGAATTAATTATTCATTTATTGGAGAATTGTGTTTCGCTCGAGAAAATTACAGTTGACCCGCGAGATGTTCATTTTCCCGGTTTATTGTATAAGGAAGAGGTCGAGGCGGAGGAAAAAGAAGTACGCGCTCGTGTTGTGAATCAACTCAGAAACAAAGTTGCTCCTCCAGTAATTCTCACCATCATTTAGTTCAATTTTTGTTATTGGTTTTTTAATTTGTATACTTATTCAGTTAATGATTTTTAAACATAAACTATTTTGTTTTACTGTTGAATTGCTTGCAATGCCCTCATTTGGCTGGCAATGCTATGATTAATTAAAATATTAAATAAATTTTAGTTTTATTTAACGTTTTGGTCAAGTTACGAAACCCCTCCTCCTGTTTGGGTAATTACAGTCATCCCTTCAACTTCAACTGTGTACGCCAACGCTTCATACCGTTTATCGAACTGAATATACAATTTGGTTCGGTAAATAACCGAATTACATAAATTTTATGTAAAAATATTTAAAATGAGGGGTGCTTGAAATTGCGCAAACATGAGAGTTTTTTTCGTAATTTAAATATACTTCAGGGATGGCCGTAATTACCCTTTAGTTTAATTTTATCATATTCTAGTGTAGATGTTCTTCTCGATATGACTCAGAATTAAGTAAAATTATTCTATCATCTGGTAATTATCTAATTTAATCATTTAATAGATTTCTTTTATATATTGATAAATAGATTAAAATTTGCGTCATAATCCAAAACCATGCCATTGCCACGTGCACATTATAAATGTATACATTCGTCTCTCTTTTACACTACTTCCAAACGGCGGTGCTATCACGCGCCACCGCTGAGTGTGTATCATTCTCTCTCCGAACCAAAACTAAGCTGCAAACTGTCAAACTTCAAAATTCCCATAATACCCCTAAAAACCAGAGTGTAGTGTAGTGTAGCTCAGCCAATAAATTATTATAATTATAAATATTAAAAAATCCAAAAGGCTCTGCAAATAATAAAACTCTGCAGAAATTGCAGAAGAAAAGAAACAACATCACACAAGACAAACAAGAGAATATCTGCAAATAATAATAATAAAATAAAATAAACCCAAAATTTCAAATTTTTTGAACGAGAAAAAATAATTAGAAAAAATAAATTGAAAATCATTGAATGAGATGGCGTGCATTTTTAATTACCCCTCACTCATTTATGACAAAATTACTGCATTTGCCACTCACCCCAAGAACATGACTTCTCACCTCTGTTTGAACCCTCCTCCTGTATGTATAGTGTATGTATAGGTGGGGGAGCACAGAATCTTCACTAAAATACAATCTTTTCTTTGTGGGTCTTCCGAAATTCTCGCTTCCCTTTGAATTTTTTATTTTTTTTTCTTGTGATTTTCAACGGCGAGCAGACAACGTAGCTGTAGGGTTCTTCCTCAATCCACAGGTTTTGTGTGTGTGTGTGTGTGTGTGTGTGTGTGTGTGTGTTTTTTTCTTCCATTCTTTTCAAACTTGTCTGTATTCCACCTTGTTTTTCACAATGTGTATGGCAGTATGTGTAGAAATATATGTTTATTATTTGTTTATGTGTGTTTTCATGTTTTCAAGATTTATTTTTTATTTTTTATTTTTTATTTTAATTAATTAATCTGTCTTTGCTGAGAAGGGAAGTGCAGGTGGGTATTTTTTATTTAATTTATTAATATATATATGTGCATACATTTATTTATTTATTATTTTATTTAGTTTTTATCTCTTTGTGTTTGTTGTATAGAGTGTTTGGGGGGAGTGATGGTGTTTAAGTTTATGTGTGCTTAATGTTTTTCAGGTGAATTATCCAATGCACTGCGTTTCGCAGTAAAAAAAATTCGATTTCGTTTAGTCGAAAAGAAGTGATGGATGGGCGACGCCATTCGATCGATATTCCGATATCGAGAACGCTGATTGCTTTAAGGAGAGTGAGGTCTTTGAGGGATCCATCGACAAACTCGTTGAGCAAATTATCTTCCTTTGTCGATAATTTGAATTGGGAAACAAATTCCAACAATGCAATCACTCTAGACCTCGAAGACGACGTTTACGATGTTTCAAAGTGGCGAAACTCAACGTTGTTCAATGAGGAGAAAGAGATGGAGCAATGCCTGAGCGGCCACGAATTGTATTACGGTTCGAGAAATTCTAACTCGAGGCTAGTGTCTCCTTTAACCTTAGCAAGTCAGAGGTTATTATTACCGTTCGAAGGCTCTGGTGAGATTGTGTGCGAGAACAAAGCACCGAGTGAAGACGAACAAGGACATGAATTCACGTGTGCGACGTATTCGTGTGACGATGTCGAATACGAGAGTTCTTGTAATGAGAAGAGACAAAACGGTGTCTCGAAATGCAAAAGCTGGCATAGAAAGCTCGATGGATTATCCAATAGCGAAGCAGCCCCAAAGGAAAGGTCTTTATACAGAAACGAAGATGTCGGCTTTATGGATTCTTGTCATCAAGGGTGTGGTATAAGCAATTGCTGGTCAAGAAATCGGAAATTTAGGGATTCGAAGCTATTTCCTAATGTCGAAGAACGACCCCTTTTGTTGCTAGATCAAGAAAACAATATCGAAGGGGTTGGTCCGTTTACGGAAAGTTCTAGAAGTTTCTGTCAAAAGTACATGCCGAAATCGTTCGGTGAGTTAGTTGGGCAAAACACAGTAGCAACTTCTTTACTGAATGCAATCTCTACTAAGCGAATAGCTTCGTTGTATATCTTCCATGGCCCACGTGGGACCGGAAAAACATCAGCTTCTAGAATATTCTCGGCCGCGTTAAATTGTCTCTCGATCGAAATTTCAAGAAAGCCGTGTGGGTTATGCCAAGAATGTTCGTTGTTCTTCTCCGGAAAGAGCAGTGATGTGAGGGAGGTGGATTCGGTGAGGATTAATAAAACGGAGAAATGTCGATCGCTGATCAAGAGTGCGAGCGTGCCTCCGGTTTTTGCGAGGTTTAAGGTTTATGTAATAGACGAGTGCCACCTGTTGCATAGGGAAACGTGGGCGGCTATATTGAGCTGTTTGGAGGAGCTTCCGCCGCACGTCGTTTTCGTAATGGTGGCTCCGAATCTTGATAGGGTTCCTCGTAGTGCTGTTTCGAATTCTCAGACGTATCTTTTTCAGAAAGTTAAACAGGTCGACATAAGTGGGAAGTTGGAGAAGATATGTGTCGAAGAAGGGGTTGACTTTGACCGGGATGCGTTGGACTTTGTGGCGAGCAAGTCTAATGGTTCGATTCGTGACGCGGAAATGATGCTCGATCAGCTTAGTTTGCTTGGAAAAAAGATTACTGTGCCGTTGGTTTATGAAGTAGTAAGTACTTCAGAATTTTCTTGCTTCGTTTTATGAGTTAATTTAATTGCATTTAATGCTCCTTGTGTTATAAATATTCGCAAAAACCCCCCTGTGATGCATTTTGTTAGAACACAACCCACTAAACGGTGCGTTTTTAGGGGGTGGTAGTTTGCTAGTAAAAATGAATTATAGGGGGGATTTTGCTGATATTTATAACTCGAGGGTGCTAAATGCAATTAACCGTTCGTTTTATCTTCTAACTTGATGTTTTTTGTATTATTATTACAGAATGGAGTTGTATCTGATGATGAATTGCTCGATTTATTGTATCTAGCATTGTCTTCCGATGCTTCAAATACAGTTAAAAAGGCGAGAGAACTATTAAGATCAAGAATCGATCCTATGCAGCTTATATCACAGCTGGCGAATTTAATAATGGACATTCTTGCTGGAAAATTTCCCGAGGGTGTTTCCGAGGTCAAAAGGAAGCTTTTCGGAACAGATAATTGTATGTTTTTCGTACTTTTATATTTCATTTTCATAATCGTAATTTATTAATAATTTGTTTAAGGTAGTTTTTTTCGAAATACTCTTTCAGTGGCGTTATCGTAATTATGATGCAGGTGAAACCGACATGCAGCAACTGAGCAACGCGCTGAAAATACTTTCGCAGACGGAGAAACAATTGAGAACGTCGAAAAATCAAACGACGTGGTTGACTGTAGCTCTTCTCCAGCTCAGCTCGACGGGCTCTTCGCTCGACGAGAGCAATGCTAGGCTAAGTACGAGAACATTAAATCCGCAAGGTGTGACGATAATTTAGGAAAAGAATAAATATTTATAATTTTTTTTCTCAATATTTATGGTAATCGAATTTCTATTTTTGTAGATGGTGATTTTCCGAGCACATCTTCGACCGGTGATAGTTTGAAGAACCCCGTCGAATGTGAGAAAATCGGAACGCATGACGATAGGGAAACTTTGGAGTTGGTTTGGATAAGAGCTATTGCAATGTGCAAATCGAGTTCTCTCAAGAAGTTTCTCGTAAAACGGGGAAAATTGGTTTCAATTCTTCTTACCGAAGAAGGTAAATTGAACTTAACTGTAATAAGATCGATCGATCTCGAAGCAATATTCTATTAATTCGATCATAAATTGATTCTTTGTTAATTAAATATATGTATATATGCAGCTAATATAGCGGTAGCTGAATTGGAGTTCGATAATCCGGATTACGTATCGAAAGCTGAAAAATCGTGGAAATTGATTGCGGGTGCACTTCAATGTTTGCTCGGTTACAATGTGGAATTGAGAATAAATCTTAGATATAATAACGACTCGGATAAGAAAACCGGGAAGTATTTGAAGAAGTCGTATTTCGGATTATTTAATTGCTCAAGAAGAGTGCATCTGAGGTCACAATTCTCTACAACAGAGTGTACGAGTAATGCTTCGGAAAATTCGAGTACTCCTACAAGAACTGCGACGAGGGGTAAAAACGTCGAAACACGTGGTTCGGAGTGTGGGTCCCACACTCCGCGTATGTGTTGCCATGGGAAAGTGATGTTGAAGACCATACGAAGCAACGATGGAAATGCTTTGAGCATTGGAGCTCATTCATTGGAAGAAAACCGAATCGATAAACGAGGTCCAAATTCAATTGCCCACGAGCCTGAAATTAGTAAACCTTGGTAATATGTCTTACTTAAAAAACTAAAAAATAAATAATAAAATAAAATAAATAAATAAAATGTTTTATGTCTTGAGGCCATTATTTTTTTGTTTATCGAGCAGTTTAAAGGAGCGCTCGAAGTTTCATTGTTGGAGGAGTGCGATGTTTCCTTTCCGGAAGGTAATGCTCGTTTCATTGAAACTCCATAGCTATGTTTTGGTGAAGTTTAATCTTTAACTATGGTTTAGAAGTATAATTAAATGGTTAATTTTAGTAGTGATTAGCGGGAAATTCCGGTTAATTTTGCAGGCGTGGCAAATGAGGCATCAGGGTCGAAGCGAACGATTGGTCGATTACGCGTTACATTGTGGTGCTGCAAATTAGAATATCAGAACTATGGCTACATATATATAATATAAATATAGAGATATATTGTATGATTTATCTTATTTTGTTCTTACAACATAATCTGGCAAGAAAATGCTGATATTTTGTTACTAATTATTGGGGTATGAATATGATGAATAGAAAGTATTTTCTCTTAGTAAAATTCATGCAAGTGTTTTCTTTTTCTTCATGTCTTTTGTCAATGAATTCTTTGCAATTGCATGTTCTAGTAAATAGGGATGGGTGTGAACGAGCCGATCTCGGCTGTTTTGGCAGTCTCGAGCTCGAATTCTTCGAGTATTTTCTTTTTGGCTCATCGAGTTCGAGCATTTTCTGAGCCGGCTCGTCGAGGTTATGAGTTGGCTCGGCTCGTTTTAACACCCCTAGTTTTGCCTTTTTAATTAAAAAAAATAAATCGTTGAACATGAATATGGCAATTTATGGATGGATGTACTGTTTTGTTTTCGTTCCATAACTTATGAAACTCGGCTTGAGCTCGATCATATTATAAAATAATATAATATGTATAATAAAATGAAGCGTAAATTACGGCTACCCTTGAGGTAAAGTCAAATTATGAAAAAACCTTTAGGGTGCATTTGGATGGAGGGATTTGGGGGAGGGATTTCAAATTTGAAATCCCTCGCCCAAATCCCTCCATCCAAATGCACCCTTATTGTTTGGTAATTACAACCTCCCTTTAACAATAAATCTTCTTACACATTCATTCTTATGGTGTCAAATTCAACATACTCTTCTAGATTCCATGGAATGTTCTCTAATTTATACTCGTTTTGTGCAAAAATGCAGTTTCTGATACACCACAATCAGATATTTACAAGCCAATAGACACATCTATGATCATCTTGTTTCACAATGTGAAGCTCGAATGAGATAAAATAGGTACAAATTGGAAAATATTCTATATAATCCTTCCACTATATTTGACACCACAATGGTAAACGTGTAAGAAGATTCATAATTAAGTGGGAACGTTATAACTACCTAAACATTAAGGGTATTTTCGTAATTTGATCTTACCTCAGGAATGGCCGTTATTTACCCTAAAATTAAATTACTCGAGATTGATTCATGTTCCACTATAGCAACTACAACTTTATCCTTAAATCCTCGGTCTAATCTCTATTTACCTCTCATTAATTACATTTCTTAATCACCAAGCACCAGGGTCATTTCCGTAAATCACTCGCTCATTCCAGTACAAAAACCCTAACCGTACCCATCAAGGTCACCGCAGGACACACCCCTCACTAGAAAAGCAATTTTCGCTATAATTGTAGAGCACAGCAGAGAACGGTACCGGAGTCGGGCTACTAAAAAAAACCCGCTTAAAGAGCGAATGCCACGTGTATACCCTTATTTTGGTGATGACGTGTACACGTAACCGCAGCCTCCCTATTTATTTGTTCTCATCCATTTTTCTCTCTCCAAACTACAGTTTTTTTTAGAGAGAGAAAGAACACATACAGAACTTTACACACTTTTACACGCAGTAAACGCAGTGATTCAATCGGAATACACACACAGAGACACGCAGTAGTGTGTGTTTCTGCGCGTTCAGGCGATTGGAATCTCGATTGCTTCTCCGGCTTACATATCCTCTCTTGGCTCGAGATCCGAGCCAAGAACAGAGGAATTTTGCTCGGCGCGTGAGAGGTAAGTCGCGGAATCCAGAAACTTGTTTAGTAGAAATGTGCGAAGCTATGAATGCACCGATTGAAAATGAATTGTGCACTATCCTGATTGTAATTATGATTTTATTTATTTTTGTTGATAGGGTTTTTTTGATAAGAAGAGAAAATGGCTAGTAGCGAGGGGTTTCTGACGGAGGAGCAGAGGGAAATGCTGAAAATAGCTTCGCAGAATGCGGAGGTGATGTCTTCATTGTCTTTGTCATCGTCGCCTAAATTCCCCGGCCCGAAATCTCCCGGTCAAACCTCCTCGTTTCTGTCGGAGCAGCACCGTGTCAAGGCGCCGAGTGGAGGACATTCTGCTGCGGCGGGGGGTGTGGCAGTCAGGCACGTACGCCGTACGCACTCCGGTAAATCTATCAGAGTTAAGAAGGGTGAGATTTTGTTCATTGAAACTTCATTCTGGTGTTTTGGACACTATATATAAGATGATAGTGTTAAATAGTAGTTCATTTATGTAGGTTACTCGCTATTTAGTTGTTTGGAGTTGGGATTTTATTGGTTTGAATTCTGAATAGTGCTGCCTAATGTAAATTGTTTTTAATATATTTTGATTCTCTGTAATCAACGGTTTAAGATCCAGTAGTGTTTTGTAATTTCTGAGTTACGGGTATGCGGCTGAATTATCTAATCCATGATGAATGGGAAGGTTTAGTCCTCATTATGTCTTCATTTTGTTAGAAATTGTATATCCTTAATAGCGTTAATGTTTATATACGGTTAGGTTATTGATTAGTCATATAGGTGTTATTTGGCCGCAGAATATTCGTGGAGGTGTGCTGGAAAATCAAACTGGGTCGTTATGGAATAACGTTAATTTGTTTGTAAGGAAGGTGGTCTTTCTTGAGATTGTTAGTGGTTATGAGTATGAGCGTTTCTTCTCCGGGATGGACACAGTGACATGTGAATTTACTTGCAGGCTTTTGTTAGTTCGTGTTCCAACTTGCACTTGCTTTTGAGATTTTTATAGAAGAGCTTACCAATACGTGTATATCATTGGTGAACTGATTTTGGATCTATTATATAACATTGGTTACAACAGACTTGAATGTATAACTTCAAGTTGAGATGGATGAGTAATTATCACCAATAGGACATCATACATTTTGTCGATAACAGGTGATTTGTTTAAAGAGATGACATGTATTATACAAGGATTGGAGCAAAAGAAGCTAAATCATGTTGCTTGGTTTGTTTGGTAGTGAATTCAGAGTAGCCTGTTGTATTCGCTTCGTTATCGCATGATGTCATGGATAAACTTCATGTTTGATTCATTTAACTTGTTTGATAAATTGTGGAAATGAACACTTTCAGTTTATGGTTCTCATCCTTGTCGTGTCGTATCACAAATGTTTTTCTAATCTGATTGTGATAATAGATGGTGCTGGCGGTAAAGGAACCTGGGGGAAATTGCTCGACACTGATGGTGATTCTTGCATTGATCGGAATGATCCGAACTACGACAGTGGCGAGGTAATCATTTAGTAACTGTATTTCTCTATTTCGCTGAGAATCATCTTCTCTGCTTATTCATTTTATAACCCGGTTACGTTTGACTTGTTTAGGAGCCTTATGAGCTTGTTGGATCAACAGTCTCGGATCCTCTGGATGACTACAAGAAAGCTGTAGTATCCCTCGTAGAGGAATACTTTAGCACCGGCGATGTAGATGTAGCAGTTTCTGATCTTAGAGAACTAGGATCGAGTGAGTATCATCCGTACTTCATTAAGCGCCTCGTTTCCTTGGCCATGGACAGGCATAACAAAGAGAAGGAGATGGCTTCAGTTTTGCTATCTGCACTGTATGCTGATGTTATAAATGCAGCCCACATCAGTCAGGGTTTCTTCATGCTGGTTGAATCTGCCGATGACTTGGCTGTTGACATATTGGATGCTGTTGATGTACTTGCTCTATTCATTGCACGAGCGGTGGTTGATGATATTCTACCTCCAGCTTTCATACCCAGGGCCAGAAAAATGATTCAAGAATCCTCCAAGGGATATCAGGTACTGCAAACTGCTGAGAAAAGCTATCTCTCAGCACCACATCATGCAGAACTTATCGAAAGGCGGTGGGGCGGAAGTACACATCTCACTGTTGATGAGGTGAAGAAAAAGATTTCTGAGCTTTTAAGGGAATATGTCGAAAGTGGAGATACTTCTGAGGCCTGTAGATGTATCAGACAGTTGGGCGTTTCGTTTTTCCATCACGAAGTTGTGAAAAGAGCTCTGGTCCTAGCTATGGAGATTCAAAACGCAGAACCTCTCATTCGGAAACTGCTGAAGGAAGCAGCAGATGAAGGTCTGATAAGTTCAAGCCAAATGGTGAAAGGTTTTACTAGATTAGCCGAGAGCCTTGATGATCTTGCCCTCGATATTCCTTCTGCCAAAAAGAAATTCCAGTCCCTTGTTCCGCAGGCAATATCCGAAGGGTGGCTCGATGCATCTTTCCTAAATTCTTCAGTGGAGGATGGAGAGAAGAAACCAGACGAAAACGATGAGAAATTGAAGCGCTACAAGAGAGAAGTAGTTACCATAATTCACGAATATTTCCACTCAGACGATATTCCAGAGCTGATTCAGAGCCTGGAAGATCTAGGTATGCCAGAGTACAACCCTATTTTTCTCAAGAAGCTCATTACCCTAGCTATGGATCGGAAAAACAGAGAGAAGGAAATGGCATCAGTTCTGCTATCCGCACTGCACATAGAGATCTTCTCAACAGACGACATAGTCAACGGGTTTGTATTGCTATTGGAATCTGCGGAAGACACCGCCCTCGACATCCTAGATGCATCGAACGAACTTGCCTTTTTCCTTGCAAGAGCTGTAATAGACGATGTACTCGCCCCTCTGAACTTGGAAGAGATCGCCACTCTGCTGCCGCCGAATTGCAGCGGTAGTGAAACTGTGCGTATGGCACGGTCACTCATAGCGGCACGCCATGCTGGGGAGAGGATTCTCCGGTGCTGGGGCGGAGGCACAGGGTGGGCGGTGGAGGATGCAAAGGACAAGATCCAGAAGCTTCTAGAAGAATACGAGAGCGGAGGAGTTGTGGGCGAAGCTTGCCAGTGTATTCGCGACCTGGGGATGCCGTTTTTCAATCATGAAGTGGTGAAGAAAGCGTTGGTTATGGCTATGGAGAAGAAGAACGACAGGATTTTGGAGTTGCTGCAGGAATGCTTTGGTGAGGGGTTGATTACTATTAATCAGATGACTAAGGGTTTTAACAGGATCAAAGATGGGCTCGATGACCTGGCGCTTGATATACCAAATGCGAAGAATAAGTTCGAGTTTTACTTGGAGCATGCTAGGGAACACGGGTGGCTCTTGCCTGCATTTGCTTAGCCGTCTTTTTTTCTTTCTTTTTCTTGAAGAGGGACATTAATTTTCACCTTGTTTCTCTCGCTCTCTGCATGTTGTTGAATTGTTCGTTTTTTTATCTTCCGTGTTTACTAGTGACTTGTTTTTTGGCATCGTAAGCGGATCGGATGGTAAGCGGATCGGATCGGTTGATGGTGATCTTGATCTCTCCTGGAATGTTTCTGTTGCATTTTCTGTGTTTCCCTTATGAATGCTATGATGTATAAATTGGTATATCTTGTTTGTTCTCTTTTACAATTTGTTATAGCATAGAATACAACATGTTTATGATTTATAGATGTATATAGTAGAATATAACTCGATAAAGTTCGTCGAATATAACATAGATTTGGTCTCATGAAAATCGAAAAAGAAACATTTATAATTAAGTTAATTATTAGGGTAAATTACGGCCAAGATGAGGTAAATATCAAATTATGAAAAAATTCAATATACAACCACTCCATCATCTATGAATCTTCTTACACGTTCATACCTGCAGTGTAAAATTTAGTGGAATTTTCTAGTTTAAGTAGAATCAGTTTGTATCCGTTTTACCCTATTTGAACTTTAAATAAAACAAGATGATCATAAGATGTGTCTCTTGACTTATAAATATCAGATTATGGTGCATCAAAAACTGCATTTTTGTATAAAACTGAGTACAAACTAGATAAGATTATGTTGAATAGTGAGTGTAATTACCTAAACATCATGAATTTTTTTTCGTAATTTGACCTCATCGTAATTTTTCTAACTATTATTTGGAAAAGTCAATACATTCTCACGACAGTCAAAACAATTTCAAAAAAAATATTATAATAAAGAATAAAGAAATAAGAGAAAAATAGAAAAGTCTAAAAAGCCCTTCTCCGGAAACCGAAACCTATTTCTTCTTTCAACATTTTTTCAGGCCAGCAGACATTTGGTTCACCTGTCTCTATAATTTCCAACCAATCTCCACTGAAACGACCTTTTTTAATGATAGATAAACCGGATCGGGTCGGGGGCGATTGGGATTGAAAACCACCCGAAACCTTCTCCACACGAACTCAGATGAAGATACAGAGGAAGAAAAACCAACATACATCAAAACATTTCATTTCTCGTCTCCTTGTATTGGGGAAGATGATTCCCCATTTATACATTTTAATTCATAAAGTGCTACTAAAAATAAAGTGCTACTACCTCTACGACAACTTATAAAAGTGTTAAACCTATTATTTAAATAAAATGCTATTTGACTTAAAGAAGTGCTACACCCCTTTTTACGTTTCTTTGTTCCCTTCAATTTTGGATCGTTACAATACTCCTCCCTTAAACCGTCCTTGTCCTCAAGGACCGAGCAAAATGTAGCTTGTAATGACGGTCTTGAGACTTGATCAAATCCATTCAAAATCTGTAACTCACTATACAAATTCGAGGTATACCCAACAAGAGTATATAACCGGTAGTGACAGTAGAATGGCATGAAACAAGGGCAACAACAAATTTTTGAGGTGTTGCAAAACGCTTCCTCTAGAACAGTCTTTATTCCCAAGGTTTGGAGTGGAGTGCTTATTCGTGAAATCCTGGAGCCTTGTGGAGGTGGTTCTGGTGGTGGACGAAGCGATCCCAACCACGCATTGCTAGTGCGCGGTAACAACTCCATTTGAGAATAAGCTTGCCATAAGATTATCAAACCAATGTTGACCCTTGTAGATCGAAAAACTTCTTTTGCATAATCGTTTGTCCGCATCCTTAATACCTCAGGTACCAATCGAACTGAAATTACAACACCTTCAAGTAATTCTACTTCCCAGCCAGAGTCACGTAACAAATGAATTGAGCAATCATTCACTGTACCATTTTCAGCCTTCGTTTCCATACTCTCATTTTCCTCATAAAGCTGATCAAACCGTGCATTTGACACTTTAATCAAAGGGGATTCCTCCTTGCTATGAAACCTGAATTTATCATGCTCCACTTCATTTATCATCAACGTATTCTCTTTCTCCAATACATTTTCAAAGGATTCAACAACTGTACTTGACCCTTGAACTTCAAACGCAAAAATTTTCATAGAAAGCTCCCTTGTGCAATTTTCAGTTTCAGTTCCTATTGACCCTTTCTCCGACATTTCCTCAAACACAATCAACTCATCAATTTTATTCACAACATTTTCAGTATCATTTCCCACATACTTTCTATTAGGCATTTCATCAAACACCACCAACTCACTCATTGCAAGACTATCTCCTTCACTAGATATATCAACAGTGGTATCAACTACCAAGTGTTTAGGAGGAATCTCAACTACATAATCCATCGATAAGCTAAAATCATTGCTACTTTTATGGCCAAGAAGAATTAGGGCATCTTCCTGCAACTTAGCCAAGCTAACCACCTCAATCATAGTCTGAGGTTTAAACATGCTAATTTGAAGAGAAATCTCAGACTTCAATCCACCCAAAAAATAACTCACAGCATAAGTTTCAGGTAAATCTACATTCCTCAACAACAATTCAAATTTGTCGGCATAATCTGTAACATTTCCTATTTGTTTCAAAGACGCCAATTCATACATAGGATCTTCATAAAGTAGGGACCCAAACCTGTCATGTAAAGCTCGGATGTATTCCTCCCAATTAAGCGGCTCCCACCTTGCTTTCATAAAACTCCGATGCCATTCCAAGGCCTTTCCATCTAAATGCATCGTCGCTAGTTCCACTCTCCCTTCTGAAGGAGTATCTTCGATTTCAAAAATTTGTTCACATTTGAACACCCAACTTCGTAGATTCAGCCCGTTGAATTTAGGAAATTCTACCGACGAACATTTTTTTGGAGGTTGATAATCATGCCCCCACTCTGACCCACGTGGAGTCTCACGAATTTCTTGCCCGACCGCCCTTGAGGTTTCGACATGGAGATCTGTCGAAGTCTGCAACTTATACATCCTTAACGACAACGCCGCAAGCAATTCTTCCATAATTTGTTTGTCCCCGCCATCAACCGATTGCCTATTCTCCCTTCCTTGACCCATCTGTTTGTGCATCTCTTCGTATAGACCCTTCGCCATTTCCCTTTTTTTTTTTTTTTTTTTTTTTTTGAAATCTAGAGCCGCCGAGGATCGACGGCTCTGATACCAATTGAAACGACCTTTTTTAATGATAGATAAACCGGATCGGGTCGGGGGCGATTGGGATTGAAAACCACCCGAAACCTTCTCCACACGAACTCAGATGAAGATACAGAGGAAGAAAAACCAACATACATCAAAACATTTCATTTCTCGTCTCCTTGTATTGGGGAAGATGATTCCCCATTTATACATTTTAATTCATAAAGTGCTACTAGAAATAAAGTGCTACTACCTCTACGACAACTTATAAAAGTGTTAAACCTATTATTTAAATAAAATGCTATTTGACTTAAAGAAGTGCTACACCCCTTTTTACGTTTCTTTGTTCCCTTCAATTTTGGATCGTTACATCCACTCAGAAAAAATGTCTCGCCCTCACCCTCCCGCCGCCGCCGCCATGAAACCACCTCCCCCTCCGCAGCAGCCGAGACCAATTGTTATGGCTGACCTCAACGTTGACCCGCCGGAATCAGACGCCTACGCCTTTTCTACCTATTCTCCTTCTGTTTCCATTTCAAGGTTCAAATTTAATCAGCCATTATAATTAGGATTCGCTTGTGTTTATGCATATCTACTCAAATTAGGTATATTTGAATTTGAATTTGATTGAGCTATTTTTATGTTTGCCAATTTAATTTCATCACCATTCTATGTTAACCTAGATATGGATAACTGGTTGTAGAGCTAATTAATAGTTTAAGCATTTGATGTTTAATCATGTACTGCAGAAGTCGCCTCGAAGCGGTCGGATGTCGTCTAGAAATTAAATAAGGCTGTTGTAGGCTTGTGTATAGGTATTTATTCCATATTAAGGTGTTAAAAAATTCGCAGTTTCTAGTGACTTTTTGCCGTTTTGGTTTTATAGATACAATGATACGTGTGTATTTGCAATAAATAAAATTATAGGAAACATTACAATAATGAATAGAAAGTGAGAAATAACTCGACACGTGGCTCTTTTTATTTAGGTTTGGTTCCGTACGATTGAGTTCATAACAAGATTGAAGGTATTCCTAACCGGATTACGGTTGTCATTTTGTTTATTTTATATATTCCATTATTATTCTCGGATAAGTTGTCTTAGCGATCTGTCGGTATGATGGATCACCATATTTGTCATGGATTGATTATTCTTGGAAATCTAAATGCTTATAGTAGCATTTATTTACAGACTTTTGGATTTACGAGAAATGTAAAATAATACTTGGATGTGGTTCAAACCAAGTTAGTCGTTAATTCAAATAAAATGTTTTAATTCAGGCTGATGGAATATAACTTTGTGATTTTGTCTAGTTGCTGTAAGAATTTACGATGATTTATTGATTCGTACTGGTGGTTGATTTTGTTTTTTTATAGGATAACTGCAGATGAGATGATTCTAGAAAAATTGACCTTCGCGGGTAAAGATGTTGAGGCATTGGATTTGGAGGCTTCACAATCGAAAAAAATTGCGAAATCCCGTTCGAAAACTTGTAAGGTGGAGTATCCTCCTGACTGTGGTGGAGTTGAAACAGATGCTGACCAAAATGGACAAGGGGTCGCCACTTCTCGTGAGGAAAAAGTTAGCAGCCTTAAAACTGTGAGTTTCGTTAGTTTCACATTTTTTATATTATATCGTTCCTTCCAGAAAATAACCCAGCATATAAAATTCCTGAAGGATTTATCAAGAAACATTGCTCTTTGATCTGATTTATGTGTGCAACACATTGACCAACATATATATTTTCAGGGGTTGGTACATGTTGCACGGAAGATGCCAAAGAATATGCATGCTCATTTTATACTCGGCTTGATGTATCAAAGAATGGGTCAACCTCAAAAGGTACTGGTTTAATTTTACCGACTCTTTCAATTGGTAGTAATTACGCCATGTTCGTTCACCTTTGTCCAATGTTTCTTAGGCAATTTTGGCTTATGAAAAAGCAGCAGAGATATTACTTCGCTCTGAAGAAGAAATCGACAGACCAGAGTTGCTTTCTATGGTTCAGCTTCACCATGCACAGGTGGACAAAATATTTAGCTCGTAATCTCAAATGGTTGATATATTTTTGTTGACGATATTTATTTGTTCTTACATGCAGTGTATACTGTTAGAAAGCTCGGAGAATTGTAGTTTGGATAAAGAACTCGAAACTCAAGAACTTGATGAAATTTGTTCCAAGCTGAAGGAGTCGATGCAGTTAGATGTTAGGCAGGCATCTGTCTGGAACACACTAGGTTTAATACTTCTTAGAAGTGGTCGCTTGCAGGTGCAAATAGTAATGTACTTTTTGCAAACGGGAAGTGTGTTTCTTTGTAATAACATTTTTATATCTAACATGACTCCTAATCTGTCTTAGAGTGCTATATCTGTATTTTCTTCTTTGTTGGAAATTGCCCCCGACAACTTGGACGGCCTGGGAAACCTCGGAATTGCCTATCTTCAAGGGTAAGAAGAAACTAAATAATTTTGTTATCTAGTCATTAAATCACGTGTTTGACATCCATTGTCTGTTAAATATTGATATTAATTTATCTATTTAATTAAACATCGTGTCGTAGCTGCTTATAGGTCAAGCTCCTTCTCTTGATTAATGAAATGCTAATTTGACTGACGGTTTTAATAACTTGTGCCACAGTGGGCAGTTTGAACTTTCGGAGAAGTGTCTCCAAGAATTGGTTTTAAAGGATCAGAATCACCCTGCCGCTTTAATCAACTATTCCGCCCTACTTCTCTGTAGATATGGTTCAGTTATCGCAGGTATCGTTCTGAATATAGATGATCGCTTCATATATAGTAATGAATATAAATGCCATAGTCAGTATTTTTTAATGCTTCGACTTTTTACTTCTATCGGTTTCTGATTTAAAGAGATATCGCTGAACTCAATATCTGCTTTCGATAGGTGCTGGAGCTAACTCTGATGCTCAGACTTCCGCGGATCAATTTGCGTCTGTAAATGTTGCGAAAGAGTGTTTATTAGCAGCTGTAAAGGCTGACCCCAGAGCAGCTCATATTTGGACAAATCTGGCAAACGCATACTATTTAGTCGGTGATCATAGAACTTCCGGAAAATGTTTAGAAAAGGTATTTCTGATGAAAAAAATACGATTGCTTTTTTTTTTTTTTTTTTTAATCTTGGACATTTGTGCATTTTATTTAACGATGCTAAATACTCTGGTTTTTCACTTGTTACTTTCTATAGGCTGGAAAACTGGATCCGAATTGTTTTAGACACACGATATGCAGTTGGAGTTCACCGAATCAGAGAT